TGTGCGCGATACTCCGTGTTCTTTTCTGGGCTCCCCAATGTTCTCGGCCTCTCCTTTTGGTCGGGGCAAGGGGGTGGGGGACAGGGGCAGGATGAGGGACCAGCCGGTCCGGGTGGGGGAGGTAGGTGCACGGGCAAGCGGGGGGGGGGGGGGGGGCACCTCTGACCAGAGCTTATGGCCTCCCTTTCTGGGGGCCGGCAGCCTGGGCAGCCCTGAGCCCTGAGCCCTGGAGAGCGGAAACTGGAGCTCGAGGCCCGCCCGCCCCTCCAGCCTCGGGGCTCCCTCTCCTTGGACAAGGCTAGAAGCTGAGCCTCTATTCGGTTCCTGTGCCACAGACGGGGGCGGGGGGGGGCACTTGGAACAGTAGGTTTTTATCTCCTCCCACTTCTGGGGACCGCGCGCCTGAGGTCAGGAGTCTGGGTCCTTCTGCGGCTCCGAGAGCAGCTGGCCCATGTCGTCCTCTCGGCACTGGTGGCTGCCGGGCCCCTGGCCGCCCTGGGCTGTGGGGCGTCACTCCAGGCTCTGCCTCCATCTTCACGGGCCTCTCCCAGCGTCGCGGAGCCTTTGCCCGCATTTCCCTCTTGGAATAAGGGCCCGGTCATTGGAGTAGAGCCCCGGGTCCCGTGTGTCCATCTCAACTGTTCACGTGTGCAAAGCCCCTACTTCCAGGTGAGATGGAATTCACGGGTCCCGGGTGGGCACGAAACTGGGGGACACTGTTCAACCCGGGACAGCCCCCGCCTGTACGTGGTGGAAGACCGTGTCCCGGGAGGGTTTCCACGCTCCTGCTCAGCCCTCCCTTTCCGCTCCCGCTCGCTGCCCCTCGGCCGCTGTCTCTCTCTGTTCCCTCCGTCCCTTCTCTGTTCCCTCCGTCCCTTCTCTGTTCCCTCCGTCCCTACTCTGTTCCCTCCGTCCTTCTCTGTTCCCTCCGTCCCTTCTCTGTTCCCTCCGTCCCTTCTCTGTTCCCTCCGTCCCTACTCTGTTCCCTCCGTCCTTCTCTGTTCCCTCCGTCCTTCTCTGTTCCCTCCGTCCCTTCTCTGTTCCCTCCGTCCCTTCTCTGTTCCCTCCGTCCTTCTCTGTTCCCTCCGTCCTTCTCTGTTCCCTCCGTCCTTCTCTGTTCCCTCCGTCCTTCTCTGTTCCCTCCGTCCCTTCTCTGTTCCCTCCGTCCTTCTCTGTTCCCTCCGTCCTTCTCTGTTCCCTCCGTCCCTTCTCTGTTCCCTCCGTCCCTTCTCTGTTCCCTCCGTCCTTCTCTGTTCCCTCCGTCCTTCTCTGTTCCCTCCGTCCTTCTCTGTTCCCTCCGTCCTTCTCTGTTCCCTCCGTCCTACTCTGTTCCCTCCGTCCTTCTCTGTTCCCTCCGTCCTTCTCTGTTCCCTCCGTCCTTCTCTGTTCCCTCCGTCCTTCTCTGTTCCCTCCGTCCCTCTCTGTTCCCTCCGTCCCTACTCTGTTCCCTCCGTCCTTCTCTGTTCCCTCCGTCCTTCTCTGTTCCCTCCGTCCTTCTCTGTTCCCTCCGTCCTTCTCTGTTCCCTCCGTCCTTCTCTGTTCCCTCCGTCCCTACTCTGTTCCCTCCGTCCCTACTCTGTTCCCTCCGTCCTTCTCTGTTCCCTCCGTCCCTACTCTGTTCCCTCCGTCCCTACTCTGTTCCGGGCGCTCATGTCCGCTCCCAGGGCGTCTGTGAAAACCCCAGTCCCGCCGCGCAGGAAGTTCAGCTCCCCGTTCCCCTCCCCTCGCCCGCTCCTCCCTGCCGGACCCCCCACCCCTGGACCGGCAGCCACTCGGAAGCCCCCCGGCCCCCCCCCCGCTTCTCCTCACCCCCCCCCGGCACCCCCCCCCGCTTCTCCTCACCCCCCCCCGGCACCCCCCCCCCCCGTCCCCGCTTCTCCTCGCCCCCCGCTTCTCCTCGCTCAGCCAAGCTGGTCCCGGGCGGCAGCAGTCGGTGTTTCCTTCTCTCAGCATCTGCGCCGACAGCCTGGATTCTTCGAGAACAGAACTTCCGCGGCGCCAGGCCCAGAGCCAGAGCGTGAAGCCAGGGGGGCCTCTGTGGGGGGGAGGCCGGCCCTGCCCGCAGCTCCGGTGAGACTGCGCGTGGCTCGCACGAGCGGCCAACACGGTGCGAGGCCTCGGAGTGACACGCAGACCATCCACGGGGGTGGGGTGCCCGGCGAGGCGTGGAGGTCGGTCAGCAAACTGCTTCTCAAGGTGACACCGACGCACAGGCGGAGAGAGAACCAGATCAGCTGGCTCGTCGAGACTCAATGCCCTTGAACCTCAGCGGGCACCCTCGGGGGTGAGGAGACAGGTGGGCAGAGGCCAGTGGCCCACCCGTAGGGACTCACACCCGGACGCATAAGAGCTCCTGCCACCCAGCAGCCAGCACCGCTTTCAACGGGCGAAGGAGTGGATGAGCCAGGTCTCCACGCAGACACACAGCAACCGGTCAGCACGCGACCACCCCCCACTCACAGCCACTGGGAGATGCCACTCAGGCCACAGGGAGACCCGCCCCGCACCCACTGACTGGCACCCGCAGCGAAATAAAACGGCAGAAAGGCCCCCGTCGGCGGGAAGGCAGAGCCCAGGACTTGGCCGTGGAACGACAGACGCTGCAGCCACGACAGGCAGCCATTTGGTGGTTCGCGCCTCACCAGGCTGAGCCTGGAGCCCGGCCGGGAGCCCGGTTGGTGAGAGCTTCGTCCCCATCCGCCAGGGTTGCGGGTTTGATCTCTGGTCGGGCACGTACAAGAAGTGCCCAGTGGCTGTCTGCATAAGGAGGCCCACACACCCATGTCTCTCTCTGAAATCAATCCATCAATGCAGAAGCTAAACACAGAATTGCCATGCGATTCCACCTCTGTGTGTGGGTCCAAGGGAACGGAGAGCCAGGACTGGAACATACGTGGACGCCCATGTCCCCAGCAGCAGCATTCGCACGGAAAGGCGCGTCAGCCCAGTCCGCCCGCAGGTGATGGATACGCAGGTGTGGCCTGTCCATGGGGAGGGCGGTTCCTCGGCGTCAGAAGGAAGGGCGCCGCCCGCTGCCGTGTGGATGGGCCCGCGGACGCGGTGCTCCGTGAAGGAAGCCGTCACAAGGGGAAGTCCCCGTGATCCCAGGGACACGCGGGCCTGCACCAGCCGGGTGCACAGGGCGGGCAGGCGATCAGAGGCGGGGGGGTGGGGGGTGGGGGGTGTTGGTGTTCAATGGGGACAGTGTCTGCTTGGAGCCCTGAGCGAGCTTTGGGGACAGAGTCTGTGGTTGGGCAGCACTGAACCGCGTACTTACAAACATTAAAAGGCTAAATACTATGTATTTACCACAATTTTTAAAAATCAGTAATAAAATATTCCAAAGCCATTGAATTGTACACTTTGTTTTAAATATATCTTTATTGATTTCAGAGAGGAAGGGAGAAGGAGAGAGAGAGAAACATCAATGAATCACTGATCGGCTGCCTCCTGCACGCCCCACCCTGGGGGATCCAGCCCACGACCCGGGCGTGAGCCCTGACCGCCTGGTTCCTAGGTCGACACTCAACCACTGAGCCACACTGGCCGGGCGACCGTACACTTTAAGTGGGCGGATTGTATGATCGTTCATTGTACCTCAATGAAGCTGTAAAGGGGGGCAGTGCAAAGGCCCCTACACTTTAGGAAAGGCCCGGAGCCTGGCCCCGGGGGCAGGGGTGTCTCTGCAGCCCCGGCTCCCCGGCCCCGCCCTGCGCCTCGGGCAGCTCCTCGCCGGCTGGCTCCCCTCGCAGCCAGTTCTGCACCGAACACGAGCCTCTGCCCACCTAGCAGATGGCCGCCGCCGGCCCGGACCAGAAGCACAGCTCGCAGCAGGGGACCCGAGGCTTCCCTGGCACCGTCTTAAGCCGGAGGCCCGCCCACTCAGCCCCGCCATGTGCCTTCAGGGTTCCACACCCGGAGCCGGAGCAGGAGCGGGAGCCGGCTGGACGGCACTGGGCCCGGGGGCTGGCTCAGAAATGTGTCCCTAAGAGGGAGGGAGGGGGAGGGGGAAAGGGGGGAGGGAGGGGGAGGGGAGAGGGGGAGGGAGGGGGAAGGGGGAGGGAGGGGGAGGGGAGGAGGGAGGGGAGGGAGGGGGAAGGGGGAGGGAGGGGGAGGGGAGGAGGGAGGGGAGGGAGGGGGAAGGGGGAGGGAGGGGGAGGGGAGGAGGGAGGGGGAGGGGAGAGGGAGGGGAGGAGGGAGGGGGAGGGGAGAGGGAGGGGAGGAGGGAGGGGGAGGGGAGAGGGGAGGGAGGAGGGAAGGGGGAGGGAGGAGGGGAGGGGGAGGGCGGCGGAAAGGAGGTTTCCAAGGGCTCGGTTGTGGCTTTCGGTTCCCTAACCCCCTCTCCGCCCGCCCCCTAAGCGGGAGGTGCTGAAAGTGCAGGTCGTCCCAGGGCCCAACCTCGGAAGATCCCCCAACCAGCCAGGTCTCCAGCTCCCAGGGCTTTGGGGCCTCAGCGCCGAAGGCCCAGTTCAGGGCGGTGTCCAGACGCCCGGGAGGACTGTGCAGCAGGGTCTCAGTGCCTTCCGGAACCAGTGCGCATGTCCACGTGTGAGTGTGTGCAGGTGTGTGCGCGCGCACGGGTGTGTGTGGGGGGGGTATGTGTGCGCACATGTGAGTGAGTGTGCAAGCATGACTGCGTGGGCGGGTATGTGCATGAGTGTGCACGAGTGTGTGTGCACGTCCACATGCATGTGAGCATGAGTGTGCACGGGCGGGTGTGAGTGTGCATGGGTATGAGTGTGCGTGTCCACATGTGTGCACAGGCGGGTGCGAGTGTGCATGGGTGTGAGTGTGCGTGTCCACAGGTGAGCGTGCGTGCGGGGGATGGGGATCAATCCGTGTGCCTCTCTGTTCTGACAGCTGCACCTGCGGCCGGAGGCCCGTCCCTCCCCCAATGTCCCAGTGGCCGGGAGTGTCGGCACCCGGCAAAGCGGGCAAGGGTCCCCTGGGTGGTCCCCTGAGGTGTCCGGCGGGTGGAGGTGCAGACATTGCAAGGAGACCAGTCTTTCTCACTCTTTACTGTGTAAAAATAAACTCGACAATTCATGTTTCAGCAAGAAAAGGAGAGGAAGCAGGGAGACCAGTAAAAATGGTGCGTTTCCCGGTCGCGAGGGGAGGTGGCGGTCCTGGGGTTGCCCCGTGGCGGGGCCAGGGCTGCGAGTCGTATGAAAATGTTCAGCTTTGGTTGGCAAATAATGAAAAAGTGGGGTACACCGATCTCTCCCATATGCTACAGTATGTACACGGCAGCGGCAGCCGGGGGCTTGCTGTGTCGTCAGGGGTTTTGTTTTGGCAAATCAGACACAGTCGGGAGCGTGAGTACCGGGCTCTCTCCTCAGATGCCTGTTCCCCTTCCGAGCTGCCCGGGGCCCGCCGACGGCTGCCTCGTTCACACGCCGTGGCGCGAGAGGTGGCTCCACACGCCCCCGCTTCCAGCCACGGCCTGGCCGCCGCGAGGTCACAGGGGATCCCATCCCCTTCCCGCGAACCACACACAACCCTCGTTCCTCGAGGCCTCAACTCGGTCCACCCGACACGTCCACTCCGAGCCCCAGGCCTGGCCCGTTCACATCCCGGTCCCCACGCGCCCCCGAGCTCCCCGGGTGACCGCGAGGGGTGGCCGCGAACCTCGCGTCAGCCTCTCTCCCCTCCGCTGCCCACGAGACACCCCCTTGGTCCCAGGCCCCAGGGCTGGTGACAAAGGGATCTTTGCGTCTGAGGAAGGAATGGGGGGCGGGGGTCTACAAAAGCAAAGAAGAGAAGCATACAAAACGTGTCTTTCTCCCAACTACGCGCTTTCAGCCCAGCGTGGCGGCGGAGCCTGAAGGTATTGGCCGGGGAAGATAGGGTGGATTTCTGGGTTTGTCCTTTTCTTTCATAAAAATACTCTTGTTTTGGTAATAAACTTTGTCTTCTACAGTAAGAGAAAGAATTCCGTGTTATCAAAAGCAAGAAGGCTTACGATTCAAGTGGGATCTCAGGCCCCCACCCCGAGGGGGAGCCTGCGGGCGGCGCTCCCGCCTGGGGCGCGGGGGCCGTGGGACTGGGCGCCCCCACAGTGCGTCTATCTCCGTGTTTATAAAATGGCTTACCTGAGAAAGGCGTGGGTGTCAGTGCGAGGGGCATCCGTCCGATTACGGAGGAGATGGGAACTAACGGGTTAGATCTGTGGCTGTGTCAGCCCCTCTCAGGGCGGCCAAGGGCCAAGTGTTAACACAGTGAGGGCGTCGAGGGGCTTGCACAGGCTCCGGGGAGGGGCGGGGAGGGAGCTAAATGTCAGCTGGGTTCCCTGGCACCGCGGGGGGCGTCAGGGGAGGGGCAGGCGGGGGAAGGGTCGGAGGTGGACACAGACGTCGCGTCTGTAGCATCTGGGATGCTCTGCCCGTCGGGGTGAGGGCAGAGGATGGCTTGTGGTCCTGAACGGACAGCTCCCACCACGCCCGCTGGGCAGGCGGTCTGGGGTCTGGGTCCCGGGCCTGGCAGGGGCGGGTGGGGGCGCTGCCCGAGAGCACCGAGCCTGGGCCTGGCCTCGCAGCCGCTCCCGGTGGCCGAGGGGAGGGGCGGTCTGGTCTAGGGGTGCTTCCAAGCTCACGCTCTCCGGGGGGTGCTCTAGGCCTGTTCTCTTCCTACAGGGGATACTGCTCGCTTGGTGTTGGGGAGCGGGGAGGGGGAGAGGCCCGCGGACCTCCCCCGGCGCCCTCGCTGGCTTCCGCAGCCGTTCTCAGTAGCTACATGGATGGTCACGGGACAATGGGTGGCACTCGGCACAGAACACAGGACTGGAGAAGTCCATGCAGACAGGGAACCACACGGGACTGAGGGAGCCGGGGACGCGCCACCCCGAGGGACATGCAAGCAGAGGAGGCCCCGCAGACCCCCAGGTGCCAAGGCCTAGGCCCGGACGAAGCACAAGGGTCAGAAGCAGCCACTGCTGAGCCGCGGGGCGCAGCCTGGACACGGCCTCTGCACGAGAGCGAGGCATTGTGGGCCGGCAGCGGGCACCGTGCAGACGCCCACGTGGACACGCGCACAGACACCAACACGGACACACAGGTGCACTGGGTTCCGACACAGGACGGGCCTGCCTTAGGGGGACAGGCGCCCCTGGGGGACAGGACGGGGGACCCCTGCGCCCCGGAAGGGAGGTCTGCGGCTGCAGGGGAGCCGGGCAGGGGGCAGGGGTCCAGAAAGACATGCTGGCCATTTGCCGTTTTGAGTCCAGGTGCCCTCGGGGCGTGCGACCCCCAGATGCTGCAAAAGGCAGGGAGCCCCCCCACCCTGGGCACACTCCATCTGAGCGCGCTCTCACTTAATGCACGCGCACAACACACACGCACACAACACACGTGCACACAGCGCACACACACGCACGCACACGCCTCCCCGCAGGACTAGAAGGAATGTGCAGGATGGCTTTTCACGGGGAAGAAACACGGTTGAACAGGGTTGGGTCTCAGTGTCACCAGCTGGGGACATCCCAGCCTGGAGCCCTGCACGGGGGGAGTGGGCGGGGCCATGTCAGGGCGGGCCTGGCCATGTCTGCCTCCCCGCCCCGCCCCCCCCAGGACTTGCAGAGCCCTCCCTGGGCCCTGAGCGGGGAGGAGTATGGCTGTGGGTGGCCCTGCATGGCCGGGTCCTAATCAGGGGTGGGTTTCCCTCTCAGCCGCCCCCTGAAGGCTCTGCTTGTCTATCACCAGAGGCAGAAGGGGGGTGGGGGGAGCACGCCTCTCTCAGGCGGCTGAAAGGGAGGCGGGAGCCCGCCCCCACGATGCCCGAGGCAGGACCCCCCTCCCACTGCCTCTGCCCAGCGCAGCTGGGCCCTCCCAGGACACTCCTGCCTTCAGCCTCCGAGAGAACTGGCTCCACCCCAGGGTAACCCCCCGGACAGGCCCCGCCGTCAGCAAACGCTGAGCCACATTCACGCTATCGAGAGGGCGGCAGCGCGGACAGGCTCTGCAAACAAAGACAAATGCGACGACGCTGAGCCACGGCCCATGGCTTCCGGGCACCACGAAGGAGGAAATGAAACACCTCGTTCTGAAAGAAGAGCCTCCCTGGAGACTCGCACTCATCGACGCAGGCACAGGCGCTCGCACACGCGCACACGCGCACACACGCACACGCAGCCTCTCACCTACTGCATGGCTCAGAGTGTCGCCTGCGTCACCGGCCTGGGGCCTCCTGGGGAACGGGCGTCCTCGGGACGGGAAGCCGGGCTGCGAAACGCGGCGCTGTGTGTGCGCGTGTGACGTGTGTGTGCATGCGTGTGTGTGTGTGTGTGTGTGTGTGTGCGCACACGCGAGGGCAATGGCCTGGAGTCATTCCTGGGGAGGGAGACAGGACAGTCGTCGCGGCACAAGCAGAGGAGGGGCGGGCGGGCGGGCGGGGCTTCAGTTGACCTGGCGACAGGCCTCGAATGTCCACTTGGTGGCGCCCCCGAAGATCTCGATGTGGGGCTCGGCCCAGGCGATGACGTTGCCGGCGAGGGCCTTGGAGCTGCAGGTGGCCAGGTTGTACACCTCGCCTGGGGTCAGCTTGCGGTCCCAGATGTTGAAGTGCGCCAGCTCGCCCACGAACGCCTGGGTGGCATCAAACCCGCCGCCCAGCGTGTCCTTCGGAGAAACGCAGAGGGTGAGGGTGGGGGGGGTGGGGGCTGGGGCGGGGCCCGAGCCTCCCCGCCTGGGGCTCTCACGGTCCCCTGTCCGGTCTCTGGGTCTTCACACTGTCCCCCACAGGGAGCCCGGGAAAGGGGCGCTGCCGGCCACCTGTGCCCGAGGCGGAGCGGCTCTCTCCCGCGGCCGGTAGCTCAGCAGGGCAGGGGGCAGCGGGCAGCCATGAGCCGGGTCTCGGCCGCACCCGCACATCCCCTACTTCTAGTCCAGGGACTTGGGGCCCACTTTGCCGGCCCCATCGCCAACGGGAACAGGCTCTGGAGACAGGAAGGCCTGGCTCCGCTGCCGCCGCTGCCCTCCAGGTGCCGATGGCGACACACCCTCCCGGGGCGCGAACTGCGCACCGCGGAGCAGGAGTGGCCTCCCCAGCCAGGCTGAGACCCACGCCCACTCAGTCAGCGCCCCCCAAACTGCTGCATAACTCACCTCCCTCTGCAGCTCGCCTCCTCCTCATCCCTCCCCCCTCTCCCCTGCTGGCCTGTGGATCTGGGCGCCCCGTGCTGCCCCGGCCAGTACCTGCTCCTGGCCCAGCACCAGCACGCCTTGGGGCTTGATGGGGTGATAGGGCGCCAGGTTCTCGCCGTTGCCGCCCTGGGTGCCGTCCTGGTAGGCCTCCCAGACCCCGTCCCGGGTGGTCCAGGTGACGCAGATGTGGTGCCACTTCCCGTCGTTGATGACGAAGGGCAGCTTGGCCACCTGGGACGGAGAAGGACGCGTGTGACACACGGGCTCAGGTGAGTCCTGTGACGGCTCCCGTCGCACTTGAAGGTGGATCACAGGACCATGGCCGCTCTGCCACCTGCCGCCCGTGCGTGGGGGGGTCGAGGCGCAGCAGAGGGGCTGTGACCCATCGGGGCCCGACGTCCATCTGAATCACAACCTCCTCCCTCCCCCCCCGCCCCACCCCCCGGCCAAGCCTACACAACAGGCCCTGAGGGAGAGCCCCCCGCCCCCCCCCCCCCGCCGAGCCTACACTACAAGCCCTGAGGGAGAGCCCCCCGCATCACTCCCCGGGCCTTGCCGCCAGCCCTCTGCTCGGCACCCGCCGGCCTGGCAGAGCATCTGAGACGCCAGGGCAGAGGGCAGCCGCCTGTGCAGCTCCGGCCGGAGTTTCAGGCACCCGCGGGGTGGGTGGTGCCGCACACCCAAGGGGAAATGGGGCCCAGAAAGGCATGGCCCCATGGGCTGGGCACCCCATTTCCAGCCTGGGTTTCAGACAGTTGCCACCAACACGGCAGAGAGGCTGGGGCGTGTGACTGCTGGCAGCTGACCCGCGGGTACGGAGGCCGAGGTGTGGAGGCTCACGGAGGGACAGGCTGCCCTCCAAGGGGTCGGGGCTAAGCAGATGGGTGTGGACTCAGGAGGAATTTCTAGGGGCACCCCCCCCCTAGAGCATCGATGCTCCCCGAAGCAGGGAGAATTCAGGGACTGATCTGTGGGAAGGAGGGCCCCCCATCTCCTTCGCTATCTGTCTGGGGAGGTTCCAGCTTCACCCCGTTCATGGAGCCAGGCAAGGGCGCCCCTCCCTTCTCCCTGGTCTGTGTGCGTGTGCGTGTGTGTGTGCGTGTGTGTTAATCCTCACCCAAGGATGTTTTTCCATTGATTTTTTTTAGAGAGGGTGGACGGGAGAGGGAGAGACATCGATGTGAGAGAGACACATCGATCGGTTGCCTCCCGCATGCACCCCAACCAGGGCCAGGGAACCCGCAACCGAGGTATGTGCCCTTGACCGGAATCGAACCCAGGACCCTTCAGTCCGCAGGCCGACGCTCTATCCCTGAGCCACACGGGCCAGGGCTTCCTGGTCTCTCCCTCCCCTCCCTCGGCCCCGCCTGGCAGGCCGCCCCGGGGCCAGAGCAGCACCTGGGGCCGGCGCCCACCTTGTCGTTGATGAGGAGCTCCATGGGGTTGCTGCCCCACCCGATGAGGACCAGCTCGTTGGCCTGGCCGGGCGCGGCGTAGGAGAAGGGCGTGCCCACGCCGGGCGCGGCGCTGGACTTGAGCCACATGCACACGGTAAAGGCGTACATCTCGGGCAGGCTCCTCTTCACCTTGGCGTACATGTAGTTGGTCCGCAGCGGGAACGCGAGCTGGAACTTGTCCCCGGGGCGGCTGTCCTTCTGGCCTGGGGAGGGCGGACACAGTCCTGACGCCTGCACCCCGGGGAGCGCTGGAGGGAGGCCGGGGGCGGGGGCGGGGGCAGGGGCCTGTCCCGGAGCGCGGGGCGTGAGCAGGGGAGCTGGCCCAGGTCCCAGCCCCGGGGCGGCTGGGGTGGGGGAGCCTGTACCTGGGCTGCGGGGGCCTGGGGAGGGGGTGGCCCTCCAAGGTGTGGCCCCGAGGAAAGAGGCCAGCAGCCCCTCCGGGCCCGACCTGAATGCAGGCTGCTGGCTGCTGACGAGCTCAGAAACGCGAGCCCAGAAACGCGCTTCTCTCCTGGGTCCCCACCGAGCCGGCCAGGCCCAGCGCCCGGCACACGCCCTCCAGGCTGCAGCTGCTGCTCCTGGTCACTCCTCCCTCGACCAGCCCACTAGCCCCGAGGACCACTCGCTCCCAGGCCACCCCAGCAGCTGCCTGGAGCCCCGAGAGGGCAGAGCAGCGGGGAGCTGGGGCCCTGCAGCCAGGGGCCGCCGAGGTGACTGCGTGGAGGCTGTTACCCTCGCCCACTCGCGGGTGAGCTTCCCGTGTCTCCTGGAGACTCAGGCTCCCGGCCGCAGCCGCCCCTCACACTCGGCCACCAGCTCCCGCCTGTCGGGATGTCTCCAGGGAACGTGCCTGCCCCCTCCCCACCCACGCAGCCTGTGCGCCATGTGCCTGACATGCCCACCCAGCAGCGGGCAGGGGCACTGGCCCGGGGCCGGAACACACAGGCCCACCGGCCGGAGTGTGCCCCAGGCCTGGGGGAGCCCAGCACTGAGCCGGCCCAGGCCAGGGATTGTTTCTAGAAGGCGGCCTGCTGGGCCAGCTCCTGGCAGCCCTCTGAGCCAGGTGCCAGGGAACAGGGCAGGCCTGGCTCCTGGGTGCTGCCCACACAGTCTCAGGCCCAGTCGCCTGCCCTGGGGGCCTCTCTGGGGGTGGGGTGGGGTGGGGGGATTGTTTTCATGCCCCCACCCTCCCCTCCTCCCCCTCCCCCACCCCTCCCGAGCTGTTTTTCAGTTATGTAAGGTGCCTTAAGATGGCACTGTTTAAATCCATCCGCACACTTCGCAGTCTGAGAAGGGTCACGTGGTTCTGCTCTGAGCCCAGCCCCCCCCCCCCTTTACAACCTTGTTTGATTTCTGCGACTTCAAGGCTAAGCCGCCAAGCTCATCCGTGTGCCCCGCGGTGCCATGGGGCCCCTCGGAGTTGGAGACCGGGGAACAGCAGGGGATGCAAGATGCCAGGCTTTGGGTCACTCCACAGGGAAGATCAAACCCGGGGGGGGTGTCCCCAGGAAAGGGGAGGGGCAGGAGGGCTGGGAGGAGACCTGTTCAGGTCTGTGGGGACGGGGAAGACCAGGTCCAGCCCGGGCAGCGGAGATGCCCCCCCTCCTTCACCCTCCCAGCCAGGCTTCCTTCCCGGGAGGGCCTGGCTGACCAGGCCACAGGGTGAAGTTACTGAAGATTCAACAAACCAGGCTCGGGAAGATCCTGCGAGTGTGTGTGTGTGTCTGTGTGTGTGTGTGAGTGTGTGTGTGTGTGTCTGTGTGTGTGTGTGTGAGTGTGTGTGTGTGTGAGTGAGTGTGTGTGTGTGTGTGTGTGTGTGTGTGCAGGGGGCACGAGGCCCCAGGCGATCCCTTCCCCTCTCAGCTTCCCTTCCACAGGCATAGCCAGAGCTCAGGGCCCCGTCCCCTCCCCGGAACACCGCCCTGGGTGCCCCAAACCCTGTGCAGGATTCGGGGAGGCACTGGGGGGCGGGGAGCCAGGGGGCAGCTACCTTTCTCCAGCTCGCTGATGCGCTGGTGCAGCGAGGTCAGGGCGCTCTCGATCTTGGCCCTCTCCTCCGTGTCGTTCTTGGGGCCGCCCTTGCCCTCCTCCAGCGAGTTCACCCTGGACAGCACCTGCCGCTCCAGGTCGTCGATCTTGCTCTGCAGCAGGTCCTTGAGGCTGTTGGTCTGGCTGGAGGAGTTGAGCCGGCTGTACTGCTGCGGGGCGAGGGGGCCACAGGTTACAGCGGGGACCGGCCGGGAGCCTCCAGCGCGGTCCCCTCGGGGCGACTGCGGGGGCGGCCTGGCGGGGAGCTCGGGCGAGTGGCCAGGCGCGGGGCCTCGCGAGCTCGGGGCGGCCCAGCCCGGGCAGCAGCGCCGCGCCAGGCGGGGGCGGGGGGGTCCGGCCGGGTCGGGAGCGGGGTGGGCGAGGGCAGAGGGGCGCGCGCGCCGGAGGGGACACCGTGGCGCGCGCGGACCTCGAGGTTCTCCAGGCGGGTTTTGAGCGACTGCAAAGTTTGCCCGAGTTGGCTGAGCGTCTCGGCGGCCTGCGTGGTCCGGGACGGGTCGCCCAGCGTGTGCTTGCCCGCCGCGGGCTGCTTGCGGCCGCCGCCCGGCCGGGCCTCGCCGGCGCCGGCGTCCAGGGTGCTCTGGCTCTCGCAGCGGCCCAGCTTGGCCGTCAGCTCGCGGATGGTCTCCTTCTGGCTGAGGATGGTCTCCTTCTGCTGCAGCACCGTCTCGCGGAGCTGCAGCACGCTGCCCCGCAGCTCCTCCGCGCCGCCCGCCGCCACGGCCGCGCCGCACATGTCGGCGTCCGCGGGCACCGAGGTGCAGATGAAGCGCGTGGGCCCGAAGTCCTGGGCCGCGCCGCCCAGCAGGCAGAGGGCGAGCAGCGCACAGGTGCGCGCGGCGCGGGCGGCCGGCATGGCTGCGGCGCGGGCCCGGCGCGGGCGGCTCGGCTCTCGGCTCGGTCGGCGGCTGGGGCTCCGCGGCGGCCGCGCTCTGCGCTCCGGCTCCGGCTCCTCCGCACCGAGGCGCTGTCCGGCCCCCACTGCCGCCTGCGCTGCGGAGCCCGCGCCTTTTATGCCGCCGCGGGAGGGGCCGCGCGCCGCCGACGTCAGCGGGGGAGGAATTCCGCTTTAATTGCGCCCGGGCCCCGGAGCTGCGGGGGTCGCCGCCGCGCTCGGGGGGCCGCCTGCTCCAGGGCCCCTCCCCGCCCCCCCGCCCCCGCCCGGCCCGCGCCGCTTCCCCGAAAGCTCAGAGCTGGGGGGGGGGGGCAGGCCCCGGACTCCAGGAGGCCACCTGCGTGATGCCTCCGACCTCCCCCGGGGCTGGGGCGGGGAGGCCACCGCGGGCCCCGAGACAGGTTTCTGTTCTACTCGCTCGGCCGCCCGAGCACTTGCGGGGCTGGGGCCGGGGGCGTGGGGGCCGGTCCCCGGGGACTCAGGCGGTGGGCACCGCGTGCCGGTGGGGGCACGGCCGAGCGGAGCCTCGCTGCGCTGCCGAGTCCAGAGAGGGGGGCGCGGGCCGCTCCCCGTTCCTTAGATGTCCGATCGGTGACAAACTGCTCGCTCCCCGCGCACTCCGCCCCCCGCCCCGGACGCTGGGAGGCCCGCGACGTCTCCGGAGAGGACCGCCCCCACCTGTGCCGGGCGGGCGGGGACTTCTCGGCGGCGGCCCCGGCGGACCGAGCCTTTCCGGCCAGCGGAGCCGCTCGATTCCGATTCCGGGCAGCGGCGCCTCCGGGCTGACGCTCCCCGCGGCCCCAGGGGAGGCGGGACCGCGCTGCTTCCGAGAGGCCCGCTCAGCGCCCCGCTCCGCGCCCCTTCCTCCCGCGCTCACGGGCCTGCCCGGCTCTGCGCTCCCGTGTGTGCCCGCGGGTGCGTATCGGGCTTCCTGGCCCCCCCGCCCGCACCCCGATCACCCCGCTTCTCGGCCCACGGTCTTCGGGGAGGGGTCCCGGGCCTGGGGAGCGGGGGACCTCACAGCTGCGGAGCTCCGCACGACGGCCACGGTCACCCCTACTCACCCCTCCCCCCCGCACACATTCCCGCCTTTTCTGCGGGGCTCGACTGTGATACCTCTCGGTTCCGGCGCCGGTTCCAAACCGCGGGCCCCAGGGCGGCCAGAGCCCCTTCCGAGCGCCCGCTACACAGAGGAGGGCACTGAGGCGCCGGGACTCCTGAGGCCCTAACCCTAAACCCGAGAGCCGCAGCCCAGCAGCCCCTCGGACACCCCGACACTCACGCCCCAGCCCCTCCTTCCGCGGCCTCCGAGGGACCCCGCAGCTCGGCGGCGCCGGCGCAGGTGGAGGAGGAGCAGGCGTCATGGAGACAGCAGGGCTCCGCGCTCCCTCCTCCCATCCCCGCCCTGGGGGCGCCCCTTCGTTTCTTCCCCGTCTCAGCCCGGAGCCCACCCCGCGCTGGGGCTGCCCCTGGCGCGGCTCCTGCCGTCCCGCGCGCCCCGCGGCCTCTGCTTCCCAGCCAGAGGGGCCCTGGGCCCGGGCACCGGCGTCCACCCCCCGCGGCCCGGCTGGCCCACCGGGAGCAGCGGCGACGGGGCGAGCGCGCCCCAGGCGGTGCGACGGCTTCGGTCTCCAACTCCCAACCAGAGACACACCGGGGTCCTCTCCACGCCCCCGGTCGGTCGGTCGGTCGGTCGGAGGCCCTTCCCCAGGCCCTGGGGCGAGGCTGTCGCCGGCAGAGAGGGAGGGCGAGAGGCAGACAGCTCGCGGGCGCGGAGAGGAGCCCGGTGGGGCCCGGGCAGGCTGCGTGGACGGAGCGGGACCCCTCTCAGGAGCCTCGCGTCCTGAGCGGCGTGGGTGCCGCGCGCACGGCGGGACCCGCTTTTACCCGCAGGAGAGGGGCCTGGGAGCGGGGCCAGGCGGGGAGGAGGGGCCTGGGGTCGTGTCCAGGGTGGCGGGTCCCTGGGAGGGAGGAGTTGAGCCCAGAGGGGAGGACACAGCGGCCCGGGGCCCGGCCCCTTGGGCTCAGCGACCGACCTCCCCGCCAGGAGGCGCTGTGGGGAGGGTCGGCCCCCGCGTCCTGGTACCTGGGCTCAGGGCCCTGCGGGCGGGCGGAGGCTCATCCTGGTGTTTGCGGGTCCTCCTCTCCCTTCTCCGTGGTGGGGGGGGGGGGGTGGGCTGGGAGAGGAACGAACAAAACCTTCAGAGGAGGAACGCGCTGGCCAGCCTCCTGGTCAGAAGGTCCGGGTGCAGGGGCAGCCTCGTGTGTGGGCTTGGGTGGCCCAGCCTGGCCCGGTCCGCGCCTCGGAACCGCATGGGGGGGCGGGGGCGGGTGTCTGTGAATGCGGGCCTGGGCCTGGGCAGAGATGGGCGCCTCGGGGGGACCTGGTATCCCCACCCCAGGGCACAGTCGGTGTAAGCAGCCCCCAAAGCAGAGGTCGGGTGCCGTGTGATAAAGTAACCAGGAAGCCATGCGTTCTGGGCATGTAGCCCTTTATTCTTAGTAGAGTTCACGTCTTTCTCAGTTTGTATAATTTACATTTTAATGAGGCTGTGCTTAGCGATCAGCTTTGAAATTCCTGAAAATGTAGCCGTCGAGGCAGCCGGCTCAGCAACCAGGACGAGGGAATCCAGGGCCTCAGGGAGCCTGGGAAGCTGGTGCAGGGAAGGGAGGGGCCTGGGGAGTGTGGCCGGTGGGGTGAAGGGGGGCAGGACTTAGTGCCCCTGGAGTGTGTTTACCCGGCGGGCGAGGGTGGAGCCCACCAGGGAGTGTGCCTGAGGCTGCTGCCCGGCCAGGGCCTCGCTGGCTCTGTGGTGCCCGGGCCCGTGCAGCTCCAGGGCTGAGGGCGAGGCCGGAGCGGCCTGGAGCGTCCACCTGAGCAGGAAAGAGCTCCTCAGGCTGCGGGCGCGGCTGGTGGGTGGGTGGGCGGGCGCCGGCCGCTGGGTCCTTGCACATCGGTCACATCTGCCAGGCGCCGGGAGAGGCCGTGCAATATGGACGAGCGAGCCTGGAGGTGCTTGGGATGAAGATGGTGTTTACCGGCCAGGGTTCCACTGTCCCAGGGCTGTGCTGCTGCCCTCACTCCCTCCGGCGGGAAGAGCGTGGGCGCCTTGCCTCCCAAGGGAGCCGCCGCCACAGGGAAGCCTGGTGGACAGAGACGCCGGGTGCTGGTGAGGTATGGGGGGCTGGGGGGCTGACACCAGGGCCCCTGGGGGCTGCCAGTGCACCAGGAAGCAGGCGAACCAGCTCCTTCGAACCCGTGTCTGACAGGTGTTCCCCACACCTGCGCTCCCTGATCGTGCGGGGAACCTGGGAGGCAGGTGCTCGTCCTGCTTCACTGCACCCATTTCACAGGCGGGGCCATCAAGGCTCCTCGGGTGTCAGTGCCTCGGCCTGAGCAGCAGGACCTGTTCCAGGAATGCGAGGCCAGCCTCCGAGTTCCTGCTTGTTCATTCATTTGTTCATTCATTCATTCATTCATTCAGGGAGCACTTCCTGGGCCTGGGCCCCAGGGCGCCCCTGACAGAGGAGATGCGGGTGCTCTCCAGCGAATGTTTATAAAGTGGGTGTTTCATTTTCGGGGTTTTCTGAAGTGCTGGCAGGGACTGCGGATGCTGCGTGATTTCTCCAAGATGGCACCGGCCGGGCCCAGAGCTCGGGCTCTGCATGGCACCGCGTGTCCTGGGCGGGATGTCGCCGTCTTCACAGTCAGCTCTGGGGGGCAGCCCACCCCAATATCGGTGTCACAGTGAGGCGCGGGGTGTCCTGGGGCGCGGGGCCAGGCATGGCGGGGAGGATGGCGGCTCTGCCTGTGAGCTCTGCGGCCCCAGCTCCACAGTCACAGTGAGATCTGGGTGAGGGGTGGGCCTGGGTGAGGGGTGGGCGGGCAGCAGGGGCCTGGGTGAGGGGTGGGCCTGGGTGAGGGGTGGGCGGGCAGCAGGGGCCTGGCGCAGAGAGGACGCAGCCAATGGCGGTGGTTACTGCTGTGACAGTGATACCGTGTGCTGTTGGCGGGACTGGGGGAGGCCAGGGAGGGCGCCGCGTGAGGGTAGGAGGGAAGGGCTGTCGCTGGGGCCAGGCCTCCTACCTCCCTCTGTGGATGGTTTAGTGTCCAAACCTCTCAGACCCTGGGAGCGGGCCCCGCTTAAACACCCCCTGTGTGGGGTGGGGTGGGGTGGGGTGGGGTGGGGTGGGGAGGGGGGGAAGGGGTGAGCAGGAGTGGGGAGGGGTGGGCCGGGATGGGGAGGGGGAGGAGGGGTGGGAAGGGGTGAGCAGGAGTGGGGAGGGGTGGACGGGGTGGGGAGGAGAAGTCTCAGTGGGTCCTGTGCTGGGAAGGGAAGGCAGGAGAAGGCAGGAGGCTCCCATGGGAGGTGGCCGAGCCTCTCTGGGAGATTTCATTTCCTGTCTCACCCTCTCTCTGCGCCGGGGCCGGTGCCCCTGGGAGGCAGGGCGGCGGCAGGAGCACAGACGCTGGTCAGAGCCAGCCTGGCCCTTCGACCCCCACCTCCTCCGGGGCTGACAGGGCCCCTGCGAGCAGCCTGTGACCCGCTGGCCTCCTGGAAGGACCCTGCTGCTGTGGCTCCATGACCCTCCCGCTCCCTCACCCCTCCCAGTCCCATCACCCCTCCTAGTCCCCCACCCCTCCCCGGCCCCTACCCCTCCTGGCCCCCCACCCCTCCCGGGCCTGCCATCCTGTCTCCAGCGGGCGAGAAGGGAGCCTTCATTTCTCGCTTCTGCCGCCACGGTTTACTCAGAGCTGCCCACGGGCCAGGATGGCACTGGGCACAGGGGGTGGCATGTCCCCATCCTCACTCAGGGATGTCGACCCAAACGAGGGGTTCTGGCAGCGTGGGGAGCTGAGGCGGGAGCACACCCATCACCTTGGGCCTCACCTCTTGCCGTGGCCACTGCTCGGGGTCAGGCCTGGAGGGGCTGGGCACACTCACCACACCAGATGGCGGGGTCAGTGCGCGGAGCGACCTGGACCGATGGCGTGAAGGACGGGCAGGAGCCTGGTGCGCAGCCTGCTGGGGAGTCCCTGGAGGGCGCCGGTGGCCCCAGCAGGAGGTCACTGTAGGAGTCAGTTGTCCCCAGCAGTAGCCAACTCCGCTAACACATTAAGTGCCCAGTCAGTCACCGGTGACG